CCAGCGACGCGGTGACGTCGCGCCTTCCCACATGCTGTCATGCAGTGACGCCAGAGCTCGCGTCCTATTCTTTTCCACCGCCGCCTTTTGCTTTTCGTTTTTCCATTTCGCATTTCTGTGTCAATCACAATGGAGAGTGACGCGTCGGGTCGATAAGCGACGCAGCGAGCGCAGTGCGGCAGTGCGGCAGCGCGGTGGGAAAGTACTATGCAGTGGAAAGTGATAAGCCAGGCCGACTACCGCACTTGGCGCGTGGGCCCAACAGGAAAAACAAAACAAGAAAAAGAGAAAAAAAAATGTTTAAAAAAAGTAATGACATGGGCCAGACGTTCTTGGTACGACGGCTGACAATTGCAGCCAATTGCAATGATTCCACTGGCAGCTCGGATTACCGATTCGTCAGGGCTCGGAGTCCGAGTCCGCCGCATTACCTGTCAAACGTCGGCGGCCACTGGCACCTGCTCCATCGCCACCTGCCCTGCATTGCCCTGCACATGCAAAACGAAATGGCTCCTCCCCGCCGGTGAAAGCTCAGCAGCCCGGGGTCCAGCGGTCCGGCTGGGGCGACAGCAGGCCGTCGCTCTGCAGGCTGCGTGGTAGTCTTCCACCCTCGGCGCGCTGACGTGCTGCCGTGCTGCGCCACGCCCTGCACCGGGCCGACAATGATGTCGCTAAACGAGTATATCAACACATCCCGCCCGCCCCGCCCGCCCCGCGAGGCGAGTGGCCCAGTGTGGCGGACGACGCGGACGGGGCGGCCCGCGACCCGGGTCCACGGCGGTCGGAACGGGTCGGTCCAGCAGCAGCAGCAGCCCGGCAGAAGACTGATTCCGAGAGTCGTCTTCGTCGCTCGGTCTCCCTCGCACCAACAGCGGACGCCCTAGGAGTGCGAGGGAGACAGAGCGACGAAGACGACTCTGGGATCAGTCTGCTGGGAGGGGCAGAGCGGCGCGGTGGGGAAAGCGGGATGGGCGTTTGGCGCGGTCGACGGACGGCCCCTCGTCTTGATCTCCCCGACGGACCCACCCCATGCCCATTCCCATCCCACCGCGACGGCCACACCGCCGATCAGATGGCGGTGGTCGCGGTTCGGTTTCCCAACCGCTTTTCGCGTGTTTTGACTTCGAGCCACTCGTGGCGCTGGTTCTAGGACGACTCACCCAGGTGCGATTGACCCATACGCTATTCACCCCCAAGTATTTCACCCAGGTGTAATTGACCCACGTGCGATTGACCCAGAAAGCTGTCCACCCAGAATATTTTTTTTTTTAACTTTTTTTAGCTATATAGCTTATAGGCCCTCCCAGCTGCCGGAATAGTTTTCCCTGGCCCTCCCAGCTGCCGGAATAGTTTTCCCTGGCCCTCCCAGCTGCCGGAATAGTTTTCCCTGACCCTCCCAGCTGCCGTAATAGTTTTCCCTGGCCCTCCCAGCTGCCGGAATAGTTTTCCCTGACCCTCCCAGCTGCCGGAATAGTTTTCCCTGACCCTCCCAGCTGCTGGAATAGTTTTCCCTGGCCCTCCAGCTGCCGGAATAGTTTTCCCTGGCCCTCCCAGCTGCCGTAATAGTTTTCCCTGGCCCTCCCAGCTGCCGGAATAGTTTTCCCTGGCCCTCCCAGCTGCCGTAATAGTTTTCCCTGGCCCTCCCAGCTGCCGGAATAGTTTTCCCTGACCCTCCCAGCTGCCGGAATAGTTTTCCCTGGCCCTCCCAGCTGCCGGAATAGTTTTCCCTGACCCTCCCAGCTGCCGGAATAGTTTTCCCTGACCCTCCCAGCTGCCGGAATAGTTTTCCCTGGCCCCCCAGCTGCCGGAATAGTTTTCCCTGGCCCTCCCAGCTGCCGTAATAGTTTTCCCTGGCCCTCCCAGCTGCCGGAATAGTTTTCCCTGGCCCTCCCAGCTGCCGGAATAGTTTTCCCTGACCCTCCCAGCTGCCGGAATAGTTTTCCCTGGCCCTCCCAGCTGCCGGAATAGTTTTCCCTGACCCTCCCAGCTGCCGGAATAGTTTTCCCTGACCCTCCCAGCTGCCGGAATAGTTTTCCCTGGCCCTCCCAGCTGCCGGAATAGTTTTCCCTGGCCCTCCCAGCTGCCGGAATAGTTTTCCCTGGCCCTCCCAGCTGCCGGAATAGTTTTCCCTGACCCTCCCAGCTGCCGGAATAGTTTTCCCTGGCCCTCCCAGCTGCCGGAATAGTTTTCCCTGACCCTCCCAGCTGCCGGAATAGTTTTCCCTGACCCTCCCAGCTGCCGGAATAGTTTTCCCTGGCCCTCCCAGCTGCCGGAATAGTTTTCCCTGGCCCTCCCAGCTGCCGGAATAGTTTTCCCTGGCCCTCCCAGCTGCCGGAATAGTTTTCCCTGGCCCTCCCAGCTGCCGGAATAGTTTTCCCTGGCCCTCCCAGCTGCCGGAATAGTTTTCCCTGGCCCTCCCAGCTGCCGGAATAGTTTTCCCTGGCCCTCCCAGCTGCCGGAATAGTTTTCCCTGGCCCTCCCAGCTGCCGGAATAGTTTTCCCTGGCCGATCACCAACCGCTCTGTGGCTTTTGACAATACCCCTCTCTTTAAGCAATAATCCTTGCGCCCACAGTGGGCTTGGGCGAATTATTTTGACGTGGGTGAGATCGAGAAAGGGTTAACGGACCTCGGGTGAATTTTAGAGGGTGAATTGGCCGTGGGTGTATTGACTTTGGGCCTGTTGGGTTTTGGGTGAATAACGTCTGGGTGAGTGGGTCGGACCCCGTGGCGCTTCTTCTGGGCCAAGGTGATGCGTTGCCGAGGTTGTTTACCATTTAATGGAGGTTCCCTAAAAGAGTGGAGGAAATCCGTGTTTACTGTTTGTCGCTGCATGGGGTGGCTTGGACCGTGAACACTTCCGCGATGAAAACGAGTCAATTTCGCGAAAACTCGATGTTTGACATCTCCACGAGGAACGGACCCCTTATGGCGGCCCAAATGGGCTGTTTGATCAGGTGCGCGTCGGCCTCTGGGCGCGCCGTGCCGTGCCTTGGCAGCGCCATGGCCGCCCCCCCGTCCTTGCAGTGTGGTGCCAGTTCAGCGCCGACACTCGCGAGCGATGCACCTATCGTGTGCGTACGACGAGGAACCTGGAGTGCCTGGAGCGTGGCGCCAAGAACGCGGCCTCCGCGGGAATGCAGCCGATCGAGTGTAGCCTTCCTCTGGAGAGCAGAAATTGTGAGGGAATTTCGCGATGTGGTGTGCGGCGGTCTGCCGTCCAGTTCAATCGACGAAACGACTTGTGCGGTTGGTCCTGGTGCACACCGTCACCGTTATGCATAAGGCTGTCGTCCGGCGCCTTGTCGTGGACATCGCTCAGATTTTGCGGTCTCAATTGGATTTCCTGAACGAGCGAGCAAGGCTGCGACGCCGAGGCCGCCGACACGCGTCCCGCGGCGCGTGCCAGTGTTCCAGTTCCACGCAGAGATGGCCCCGCGGCACTACTGCCCCGCCGAGGCGCGTCGCCGCCGGGGACTCCGGCGAGGCTCCGGCCGCCTCGGCCTGCGTAGCGTAGTGCCATGCCGCCATGCCGATACAGTCCCGGTCCGCCGCCCGCCGGGCCCGGCGGGTACCTCGGTACCGGTGCGGTGGAGGGGGGTGGAGGGGGGCGGCGGCGGCCGGGGCTGAGCGTGCAGTCGCGACGTGGCCGAGACACGTGGAGTGCCGCCAGCCCCGCGCCGCACCGCGCCGCGCTGTGTTCCGGGCATATCCAGTGAATATTAATATCGCAGTGCATTGTGGCTTTGGGCAGCGCGACGCGTGCTGCGATAGCCGGCGAACTTCCGTGCCGCATCGTGCCATCATGCCGCCGGCCGCGCCGCGAGGGATTCTGAAGACTTGACGCGGCACGCGGGGACCGATCGCGGAGAGAGGGGGCCGCGCGGGAAAGGGGGGGGGGGCGGCGCGGGGCGGCTTCGGACCGACGTGAAGCGGCGACCGCCGGATCGCCAATCGCCATGCCGCAAGCTGGTTCCGGTCCCGGCCGTCTCGACGGTCTCGACGGTCTCGACGGTCTCGACGCCGCGCTTGAACGCCTGCCCTTGGTGGCCCCGAGCCGGCCGGGCCGGCCGAGCGCCGTCCACGTGCACGCCGCGCATGGCCGGCGCCGGGAGGGGACGTGGTGCGGGGCGCGCAGGGCGCTCCGCCGCGCCGGCCGCTGGGCCCCCGCACCCCATCGCGCCCTGATGCGCGCAGTGGCGTGGACGGCCGGCGCCGTGGACTCGCGCTGCTGTGGAAGTAAGTGTTCGTTGCCGACATCCTCGACTCCCCGACGCGAGGGTCGCCTCGCCGACGTGAAAAAACCTCAGCGCCTCACGCGCGGGCGGAGCGCGGAGCACGACATGTTCCTTTCAGAGTACACAAGCTTATCGACAACGTCTGCACCGCCGCGCTGCCAGCGCCACGCCGCGCCACGCCGCCACGCGGGATTTCTCGCTCTCGGCCTTCCTGAACGAACAAGGGGAATCGGACAAAGATTCCCTCCTCGCGGACGACGCCGTGTGCAGCCAAGCGTGGCCGCTGCAGTGTGTTCCCATGCACCGGCCAGACCGCCCAGACGGGCCGCAGCCAATGCATCGGGGGTCGCAGGCGCGAGCGAGACGCAATAATGCATGCGGATTGGCCGACTGGCCGACTGCCGTGTCGGTGTCGTCGGTGTGTTATGGCCGGGCGGTCCGGTCGGGTCGCGCTGACCGCCATTCGCGCTCGCCATTCCAGCAGCACGGCGTATTAGCATTAGCGCTGTCGGCCGAGAATTACTCATTCGACCCGATGACTTAACAGTGGCGTCGCAGGCTCTGATTTATGGGCACTCGCCGCGCTGATAACTTCCAAGTCGATGCACACACGAGTCGTTAATACTTGTCGCGCGATTTGATTGAATATTAAAGACGCAGACAATGGACCGTTTCGCGGGCCGATTAAAATTTGCTTCAGCTTAGTTAATCTTCTTCTTTTCACGAATCTTTAATTTCATTTTTTTGTTGTGTTTTGTCGCAGATGTGTCCAGCAAGCTCGGGCGCCGCCACCTGCAGGTGGCGCTGCTGTCGCTGGGCCTGGCGCTGGCGTACTCCTGCCGCATCAACCTGTCGGTCTGCATCGTGGCCATGACGAGCAGGAACACCACCGCCGCCACCGGCTTCCCGGTAAGGCGAAGGCGCCGCACCCGCGCGCACCTCTCCGATCTCCGTTTTCGCGCCCTTTCTCTTTGCTGACTCTCGGCCGCCGGCCCGCAGGTGTACGGCTGGGACCAGACGCAGCGCGGGCTGGTGCTGTCGTCCTTCTTCTGGGGGTACGTGGTGACGCAGGTGCCGGCCGGCATGCTGGCGCAGCGCTTCGGCCCCAAGCAGTTCCTCATGGCCGGCGTGGTGGGCTGCTCCCTGCTCACCATCCTCACCCCGCTGGCCGCGGCCTGGGGCGGCTGGAAGCTCATGTGCGCGCTGCGCGTCGGCGAGGGCCTCTTCCAGGGCATGATCTACCCCTCGACGCACACCATGATCGGCCGCTGGATCCCGCCGCTGGAGCGCGGCCGCGCCTCGGCGCTCGTCTTCAGCGGCACCTCGCTGGGCACCGTCACCACCATGGCGGGCGTGGGGCTGCTGGCCGCGTCGTCCTGGGGCTGGCCGTCGGGCTTCCACGTGCCCGGCGCCCTGGGGCTGGTCTGGGGCGCGCTGTGGCTGTGGCTCGCCGCCGACTCCCCCGCCACCTGCAGCGCCATCAGCGAGCGCGAGCGCAACTACATCGAGGCCTCGCTCGGGGCGTCGTCCAGCGGAGAGAAGGTGCGTTAACCATAACACATTTCCTCGAGTGTAGGAGCTTGTGTTCCCGACGGTTCTAACGTCGACGCGGTGCTCCACAGAGACACAGCGTGCCGTGGATCGCCATCATGACGTCGCTGCCCTTCTGGTCGCTCATCGTGACCCACCTCTGCCAGAACTTCGGCCACTGGATCCTGCTCACGCAGATGCCCAACTACATGAAGAACGTGCTGCACTTCGACATCAAGCAGAACGGCCTCAACTCGGCGCTGCCCTACCTGTGCCTGCTGTTCGCCTCGTTCCTCGTCGGCTACCTGGCGCAGGTCGTCAACGAGCGCCGCATCCTCAGCCTCACCGCCTCCAGGAAGGTCTTCAACTCCATGGGTGAGTACGCTACGCGCTACGCTGCATGCTGGCCAGAGCGCCGCGGAGGTAGGCCGCTCGCCGGGTGTCGCGCACCCGTGCCGCGCAGTGTTGCCTACCCTTCGCATGGCAGGCTGAATCGCTGACTCACACCTCGCGGTGCTCGTCTTCTTGTTCAGCGCACTGGGGCGCGGGCACGGCGCTCACGCTGCTGGCGTTCCTCGACGTGACGCACGACCAGGCCGTGGCGCTGCTCACCGTAGCCGTGGCGCTGGAGTCCGGCACGCTGGCCGGCTACATCGTGAACCACGTCGACCTGTCGCCCAACTTCGGCGGCGCCATGATGGGCGTCACCAACTCCATCGCCAACACCATGGGCATCATCGCGCCCATCTTCGTCAGCCAGATCGTCGGCGACGCGGAGACCCACAGTCAAGAGGTGTGTGACGACGCGGCAGGGCGCCGAATTCGACAAAGCTGAGGCGTCGCTTACGTGTTGCGTTTTTGTGGCAGGAAATCGTGCGGGGCTGGAGCACGGTGTTCTTGTTCGCGGCCAGCTGCTACTTCTCCGGCAACCTGTTCTTCGTGCTGGCCGGCAGCGCCGAGGTGCAGTCCTGGAACACGCCGACCCCCAAGTCCAAGAAGGGGGCCTCCTGCGTCTCTTCGGGTAAGCACCACCAACCCTCCCTTTTCCAACTGCTCCCGCCGGGGCGATTTCTGACAACCATCTCTGACATTGCAGCGGACACCATCTCGTCGACGATTTGAAGGGCGCGCCGTGCCGTCCTCACCGGGACATGCCGCCTCAACTGTTCCCCACGCGTCCACCGCGAGCCCCCCGCGGCAAGCCCTTCGCGGACTTGGCTGCGTCGAGCTGAGTTGAGCTGCGTCGGGCAGTGTCCAGCCGTTTCGGGCTGCGAGTCCAGCGGCCTCAGGCGGTGCGTGGAGCTGCCCCCGGAGCTGCGTTAAGCTGCGTTAAGCTGCGTTAAGCTGCGTTAAGCTGCGCCCGGCCCTGCCAAGCCGTGACCAACTGTCCAGTCGTGTGAATGTCACGTGTCCGGCTGAATGTGTGGCTGTCAAGAGCGGGGAGCGGGGAGCGCCGCCAGTGTAGGCAACCCAACCTGCACGCGCGCCGAAGTGGTCCCGGCGGCTCGAGGCGGAGCGGAGCCGTCATCGTAGAACGCTTCTTTCTCGAAATCTTCTCAGAGAGTCAGAGATGACTTAAAGTGGCTTTCGCCGCCTCGTTGCCTGCAGGCCAGTCGCTCCGCTGCTTCCTTCACTCATGGCGGAACATTACGAGGGGCCTCATTGAGACTGAGACTGGATCTCGGATCTATCTTTCTGTGATTGTCGTAAAGTGTAGTGTGCGTGTTTAGTTTGTGTGCCTGTTTGACTGTGGCCGTGCGTGTGTGTGCGTGTTCGATGAGCCCATTAAAGCGCCTGCCTCCCAGCCAGGTATCGATTTTCAATGAAGTTCGAGTCGACTTCAGTGAGGCGAGCTTACGGTTTGGGTTGAAGTGATCTGGCTGGGAATGGGTCTCTGCACCACTAGGGTATCCACGTTTTAGTGCAGGATGGAAACGGACCGATTCCGTTTTCTGTCGATTCCTCAAAGTCTAGTCCATTTCCGGCAGTTGCCAGTGTGTAGCTGTTCTTGAGCTTCGGATTGGATGTGCATAATTGTTTCTGTGCGACCGTGTCGCAGTCACGAAATGTGCCACCCTTGTCGAAGCTTTCATATGGAATGCATCACAGGCATATAGGAAATTATGTAAATCAAGTATTTGTACCTGTAGAATAAAATTGTTTTTCATATATGACGTGCATTATTGAGATACAAGACAAGAGTATATCATCAGATTTTTTTAATTTAAAAGTGGGGAAGTCCAACAAAAACCACTTCGATACTATCTAAATAAAAACAATAACAGAAATGAGCAGAAGTAATACACATTGAACTCATGTTTAGACGTTTTTCATCTGGTTTAGACATTTTTCTAGGGTCACATGAAACCAAATTGCTGCAACAGGATGTTTGAAGTTAACCGAATAAAAATGTAAATACAAAACAAATCAAAACAGCAATACATGCTTTGGAAACAAATTTAACATTTTCCCTGCCTTGCCTGGGCAAACGTTCTTGATTAACATGTCTTTTTTAGGGGGGGGGGTTTATTTATTCTGCAAAGTCAATCATGGCTATTTTGAAATATGTCTGAAACTGTAAAGCTCTATTTTTCTCACTATTACATACACTATAATCGAACTATCACATTTAAATGTACAGAAGTCATTTGACAGCACTTTTTGAAAAGGAAGGGGACACAAAAAACTGAAACAACTTGTGATGCATTGACCAGCTGTGTACTAGTCTTAATCTGTTAATGGCAAAGCAACTTGCCTTTTCGGGATGTAAGATAAATTCCAAACAAAACATTATTTTGAGGCGATGGGAGAAGTTAGAGCTTTAAATTGACATAAAACAAAAGGGTAAAAGAAAAACCAGTAAGGTCGACTTTTCTATTCAAATTATATCTGTCGGTTCCTTTGTACATAAAACTACTATTGATACTAATTTGTAGGTAGTTTCCTACTAAAATCTCACTTTAGTAGAATCTATATATACATAATAACATGGTACTTGAAAACCCTTAAAAATTAAATAAATAATACATATCCCATCTCTTTTCCGTTAACTAAAACATAACAGATCCGAGTGGATGGATAAACAAAGAGAAACGTCCTTCCTCTGGAGAAAGGAATTTCATAAGATGTTAGTAAATTGCAATGCGAGAAAAGATTTCTATAAATTATTCACATATTGCAGACATTGACCGAAATCCAAACAGACACAACCCTTTCAATTTACTAAATGTATTCACAGCTATGCTATTTCCTAAAGTCAGAGATGAATCCTCGGGATGGCAGCAATTTGTGCTTTCTCTTTTCAAGACAATGTTCGAAATTACAGTAATAAGAAATTAGGTTTTGCTTACCAACAAAAAGTCAAAGTTCGTGCCTAGTCCGTATAGAGTAAAAATAATGATTTGATGAAAAATAAGAGATTCATCGTCTGCTTTATCGCAACTTATGCTAAAATGAGAGATAAATAAAATATTATCTACTGTTCCTTTCTCTAGTATCACAGTGAAAAACAATCCGCGATACGGGATGGGATGACTAAGAAACTCGGCGACATTGTTAGAAATCAGATCGTGTGCCGAGTGTGGGTGGATGAGTTGTCGCGAAATGGAGGGATGGAGCGGGGTGGAACCTTGGGTGGGACCACAGGAACAAACCGGGAAGGGAGTATTGCGGCCACATATTTTTTCACCAATGCAATCATTTGGACATTTATCTTCTCTCGGGAATCCCTGTGTCTGTTTAGCCAATCTATGATTCAAATGCATTAACGGGAAGGGCGTCGGAGGTGGGATAGTAGAAGTGCATTTGTGTTATTTACCTCGAAAGCTGAAAATGAAGGCGGCTATTCAATATTACAATAAAACATAAGATCAACGGATAAAAAGCAAGCGTTATCTGAGTGCTCGACCCGCCCGTATGGCACATCCTACTACCTCATTCCCCCCAAAAATAACTGCCAGACATTTGGTTAAAATGTTTTTGTTTCTTTCGTGGAATGCACTGTCAGTCGTGAAGCGCGTGAATCGATTTCAGAGGCCGGTGGGGGCCTCCTCCATGACGTCCTACACACTATATGAATATGAATAAAACAAGGAAGCACCAGATAATCACAGTCTGCGTCAAATCTCGCGGTGGTGTGTCTGCCATGCCCGGCCATACCCGGCCATGCCCGGCCATGCCGATCTTTGAATTGGCCTCTTTGCCAGCCCCGGCGCAGCCCGGCCAGGGAGGCCGGGAAAAGCTGGAAAAGCTCGCAAGGCATTGGGACTTGAACCTGGTGCGCGCCAAGCGCGCGCGCACACACACACAAACACACACACACCATTCGACCTGGCCGTACGGGACGGCCACGGTGTAAAACTACGGTTTGTAATCCTACAGATCACAGGTCAGAGGACCTTCTTTCTCTACTCCTCTCAGCGACAGTTTAGTTGGATTCCGGTCGAATGCGCAGAGTAACGATACTAAAATAATACATGCAAGAGTAGTATACGGGGAGTTCTTCGAGTCGGCGGGTTCGCCCCTGGAGAGGTGCCTCCCCTCCAGTGCCCGTACAGTGTCCGCGCGGTGGCGGGGGGGCGGTCTGCAGCGGCCACGCGTCCTGGCCAACACCAAGCTCGTCCCCGCTCACGTGTGCGTCTTGTTGAGCTCGGCGATGATGTCCTCCACGCTGACGTAGGTGCCGGTGACGAAGCCCAGCAGGCCGAACGAGAAGATGGCGGCGTTCTTGTAGAGCTTCCAGTTGTAGGCGCCCAGGCCACCGGGCGTGTCCCAGAACGTGACCACCTCGATGACGGCGGGGAACATGAGGCCGAGCGTGGACAGGCACACGGCGCCCACCAGCGAGATGAAGGGCCCCAGCATGGGGATGGCGATGGCGATGCCCACTGCGGACAGCAAGGTCGACGGTTCAAACACCCGCAATCACTGCCCCTTTACACTTTCGTTGGTCGGCCCGAAGACTTACCTGTTGCGCACACCAGCAACACCCGCATCACGTACTCCGTGGCGACGGGGTGCTTGCGGAAGTGCACGTCGATGATGCCCTTGCGGAGGATCTCCATGGGCACGTAGAACTGCAGCGAGTACGTCAGGAAGATGGCCAGGGCGATCATGACCTTCACGGACTGGGCCAGTCTGCGGAGCAACGGGAAACACGTTTAGACGCGGCCAAAACCTAAAACTGTCAGTTGGCAGTGCAGTGAGCGGTGCTGGCGGTACTTACGGGTCGTGGGGGAGGTTGAGCGTGATGGAGCCCTGCGTGATGTCGCCGTACTTGAGGTAGCCGAAGAAGCCCACGCACACGTACAGCGACACGACGATGGCCATGCCCGTGTTGAGGACGCTGGGGCAGCCGATGAAGTGGGTCGGGGTCTTCATGTTGTTCTCCAGCGGCATGACCACGCCGATGCCCTCCAGCGCGAAGATGGCGTTGCCGAAGAAGAGCGGCAGCTGCTGCCAGGTGGAGAAGTAGGGCCTCTCGGTGACGGCGGGCAGGTCGGTCAGCACGTAGTACAGCGTGATGGCCATGCCCGTGCCGATGAGCATGTTGGCGGCCATGGAGAAGGGCGACAGGTACTTGAGGTTGCGGATCAGGTTGAGCAGCACCAGCAGCGGCAGCATGGACAGCATGTACGTCTGCACGCTCATCTCGGTGCCCGTGTAGTGGTTCACCACCTGCTGCAGGTTGCTGGAGACGAACACCAGGTACACGCAGCAGCAGCCCAGCAGGTCGATCACGAGGAAGGTGTTGATGAGCGCCCTGCAGGACGACAGGAGACCGTTACAAGGAGGCTGTCATCGCGGTGGTCGGGGACCGCGTGGGGGCGGCGTGGGCCCCACTTACCTGGCCAGCCTGGAGAACTTCTGCACGGGGCCGGGCCCGCAGGAGAAGGCCGTCTCAGCCACGTCGGCGAAGTCCAGCGAGGGCACCCGCGTCCGCCTGCAGAGCTCGTGGGCGCACTTCACCTGGAAACGGACGGAGCGTCATGAGTGCGAGAGAGACAGAGCGACGAAAACGACTTTGAGGTTCAGTCTGCTGGGGTTGGGCGGGGACCACGAGTAGCACCCACGATTAACGGGGTGGTGACGGTGATGGCACCGTAAGTGACGAAACGAAGCGACGTCACCGCGGCTTCTTGGCGGCGCAGCGACGCGCCGGCGGACGTAAATAAACGGGAGGGGGGAGTTCACCTCGCCATTACAGCAACCCCGTCCGACCCCACCCCCACCCCTCACGCGACGCGGCGACGCGCTGTAACGAGCGGCCCGAAATCGAAGCCACTTTGTCGGCCAGACAGGGAGGCTGGGCGTCACTGCGGCCGGCTGCTTGTTACGCCTTGATTTACACCGCGTACCCCAACACATTGCGAAATAAAAACACGGATGCTCACCAGGATGTGCACGCAGTAGGTGCAGATGAAGCCGATGCCGAAGGTGGCGAACAGGCCGAAAAACAGGCCGGCGTTCTTGAAGGCGAGCGGCATGGACAGGATGCCCGTGCCCAGACTGCCCTTCAGCAAGTGGATCAGCGTGTCCAGGTCGCTGCGGGCACAAAGACACAGTCAGGCTGGTGGTCTAGGCCAGTGGTTCTCAACCTTAGGGTCGCGACCCCAAGTGGGGTCGCGAAAAAATTTTAAGGGGTCGCGGCGAGGTAGCTGGGGTCGTGTTTTGGGCCGATTTTAAGCAGCCACTGCGTCTGATCCGAGGCGGGCATTTTGCTCCCTCAACCAGCAATTGGTCTTTGAACCTTCCTTTAGCATGCCTTTGTTACGGAGTGTGATTATCAGTCTTAGTTTGGGAGCAGTATTGTCTCAAAGTTTACCAAAACGGTCAGAAACGTCTTTGAAAAATCGTGTTTTGGGCCTATTTTAAGCAGCCACTGCGTCTGACCCGAGGCGGTATTTCGTCCTCCTTCAACGGGCAATTGGTCTTTGGACCTTCTTTTAGCATGCCTTTGTTACGGAGTGTGATTATCAGTCTTAGTTTGGGAGCAGTATTGTCTCAAAGTTGGCCGAAACGCTCAGTAATGTCTTTGAAAAATCGTTGTGCCTGTTTTGGTCAGCTTTGAGACAATACTGCTCCCAAACTAAGACTGATAATCGCATTCCGTAACAGGGGAATGCTAAAGGAAGGTCCAAAGACCAATTGCCCGTTGAGGGAGCAAAATGCCCGCCTCGGATCAGACGCAGTGGCTGCTTAAAATCGACCCAAAACATGATTTTTTAAAGACATTTCTGAGCGTTTTGGCCAACTTTGAGACAATACTGCTCCCAAACTAAGACTGATAATCGCACTCCGTAACAGAGGCATGCTAAAGGAAGGTCCAAAGACCAATTGCCCGTTGAGGGAGCAAAATGCCCGCCTCGGATCAGACGCAGTGGCTGCTTAAAATCGACCCAAAACATGATTTTTTAAAGACATTTCTGAGCGTTTTGGCCAACTTTGAGACAATACTGCTCCCAAACTAAGACTGATAATCGCACTCCGTAACAGAGGCATGCTAAAGGAAGGTCCAAAGACCAATTGCCCGTTGAGGGAGCAAAATGCCCGCCTCGGATCAGACGCAGTGGCATGCTAAAGGAGGGGTCCCGTGGGGTCGCGAAACTTTTCCTGGGGGTCGCGGAAATTTTTGGCTACAAATTTGGGGTCGCGAGTCGAGAAAGGTTGAGAACCGCTGGTCTAGGCTGGGCTGACCCGCCAACGGTCGCGCCGCACTTACGTGGTGGGGTGCTCCAGGTGGCGGTGCTTGAAGGGGTCGTAGATGCCGGCCTCCTCGTCCACGTCGGGCTGCTCGACGAGCGGCGTGGTGGAGCCGTTGGTGACGGCGAGCGGCTGCACGCCATTCTCTTTGCACTTGAACCTGCGGGGACAGAGCGTCAGAACTGCGGTGCACTGGAAGGCGTAGCGCAGAGCAGCCCCGTTTCGCCTACTTACTTGCTGAGCGCCAGGTCCGACCGCCCGCTGGCCTTCCTGCCGGGGTAGTCATGGGTGATCTTGGGCCGCGGCGCCTGCAACACGAAGAAGAGTCAGCGACAAGTCGACGCGGCGGCGTGCAGCGGCAGTGGGTGTGGTCCAGCCCGCAATGGTAATGGTAATGGCGGGGTAGGCGCGGCGGGCTGCAGTGCGTGGCGGGCGTGCCCAGGCGGCAGGCGTTGGGTGCTCCACGAACTCCACGAGGGGTGCGGCTCGGCCTTGCGCACGTCGCGCGGCCACCCTCCGCCCCACCGCCACGCCACTCCATGAGGATGACTTCCTCCACGTCCATGGCCGGGATGGCTGCCAGCCCCGCCAGCCCCGACGCGACGCAACCGGTCGACACCGGTCATTTCTGGCGGCCGTGGCGCGACGGCGTCGGTGGCGGCATTCGCAGCATTAAAGAAATCACGCGCGCGCCAAGCCGGCCAAGCCAAAAGCGGCGGAATGGGACGAAAGTGCGACATCCGGCGCGCACGCGGCCATTGCACGCCAGCACGCCAGTACGCCCCCGGGTATTTATTTTCGCCAAGGCGGCGGCCGCGTCCTCGCCACGACGCCTAGGCCACCGCCCTCTCGGGACGACAACAAGGAAATAGAGATTTAGATCGCGGGAAAAAGTGGGCCGATGTAAAAATAAGCCGCCGCTGTGTGGGCGTCAATAAACAGCGACAGTCGCGAGGACCGCCTCTGGCTGGGTCCCTCTGCGAGGGGAGCGGGGGTTGGAACCCGTTGTGTGTGATACACTTCGCATCAGCTGTGCGCGCACTGCCCGGGCGACGACAGCAGCGACACGACAGGCGCGAGGCACACGGACAAAGTGGCCACCTTGTTGGCCGCCGCGGTGTCGCTGTAGATTGGGCATAGCGCCCCACCAAACCGCCAAGCCAGAGCACGGCATGTGGCCAAGAACCACACCACTCTACTTGCACTGCTACTTCTAGGTGCATATAGGAGTCGGAACGTGATGACTCCGCCACGGTACGCACACACGCGCGCCAAACACGGATAGCGAGGCATGCCCCATGAGTGCGAGAGAGACAGAGCGACGAAAGCGACTGCTGGTCCGATCCGCGTCAAGCACCTCCCCGTCGTGGCGGCACGGCGGCACGCGGCACCGCCACCGCCTTGGCAGTCCTCCACCGCCCTCCACGCGGCCAGCTGTATGCAGGGGCTGCTGCGACCTTGGCTCGACCCTGACGCAGCAGATCGCCAACGCGTTTCATGTTTTGCTTTATATTTGGAGGGCGGCGAGGGGCAATTCTTAGCGATGCCCATCGCGACCGCTGTGTGGCGGGTTCGACGCCAGGAGTCACTGAACGGCGACCACCACTCGCCTGAGCCAGGCAGACACAGTTCGATGAACGGCCACCTTTTTCCCTGCGTCCACTCCGCCGAATTCCTTCTAACTATCCTAAGTGCGCGGCTTTCCACACGTCTGGTTATCGCGTGCACTCCCCGCCCCGCCTCGCACCACGTCAGCGTCAGCGCGTGAGGCGCCTTACTCACTCACTATTCGCTCACGTGGTTCATTCACAAGTACGCACTGCCGCCCGATTCCGAGGGATCGTCGAGTCGTCGCGCTGTCTCTCTCGCTCCCCTAGGGAGCACTCCGTGAGTGCGACAGAGACAGAGCGACGAGACGATCCTTGGGAATCGGGTGGAGTGGCGTCGCGTCTATCAACTCCCGCACCCCTGTGGGACGCCCCCAAGTGCGAGAGAGTGAGAGAGCCGGGCACCGTTTTTGAGTGGGCTCTGCTCTGCTCCAACCTGGCGACGGCGGTGACGCGCCGCGTCCCGACCTGCCTTGCTCCCCGTCGCCCGGCCGCCCCGGCCGCCTAGCTGAATTGCGCCGAATTGGCCGAGATGGCCCATTCCATTGAACGTGTCTCAACGACGTCCGGTCCGGCATCGCCGTGCCGTGCCGTGCCGTGCCCTGCCGCCCACGCGAGGCATCGCGACGGCCGCGGCGTGCATGACAAACAGTCGCAAAACAAGCAGCCTCGCCAACGGCAGGCCGAACGGCCCTGTCGTCGCTCTGTCTCCCTCGCACCCCTTCGTCGCTCCATGAGAGTTGTAATTTTAAAAATTATTTTGAGTGTGCGAGGGAAGTTTGAGGCAGAGGGCGCCTAGTAATTTTGTCCCCGCGTTTCCAAGATTGGGCGGATTGTCTTGTCGCAGCGCTGGTCCAGGCGAGTGGCAGCGCCAGAGCCGCGAGATGCCGCTAAGTGGACCTGTCTGCTGCACGGAAGGACGGGCTGCATGCGCCGTGTGCCGCCACCTCGAAATAGAGCTCCGTTTTCGACTGTCGTCCCTACAGCTGTACTAGACGACCGCGCCGCGTCCACTTCGCAGTTTTATCCCGTGACGCTGCACTTCTTCATGATGGGCTAGGTCCTGGTGTGCGCTGGCGCGGTGGCGGCGGGGATGCTGTGCCAGCAGCTGCCAGGCGCGCGCACACACGCACACACACACAGAGGTGCGGCTGCAGTGGCCCTCGGGGCGCCTCGTGTGCGTTTAGCCCACTGGCCAGTGGGGGTGGGGCGACTATTTTTACTGCGCGAAACAGGTGGCGGCGCCCGAGGGGGTAACCACTCGCGTAATACCCTGTACACAAAAACCGTGTATTACGCGTAATACACGTGATCGTAATACCATTTTTGGGTCAAATGTGCCAAATTTGGGCATTTTAGGGCCGTAATACACGTGTAATACACCCGTAATACAGCGTAATACCGAGTAGTCTGTACACGATTTCTTGAAGTGTTTACCCCCTCGGCGGCGCCGCAGCGGCACCGCGCCGAAGCACGCGAAGCACGCCCCTCTCGAGCCCGAGAGCGCGGCGCTGCGCGCTGCACACCGAGGCGGGATGGGACCGGATAGAACCGGAGTCGCGACTGCGCCATGCCGGCGCGGCGCCCCGCCCCGCACCGCCCCGAACCTCGGCGTCGAATCCCGATCTGAATCAGAGTGTACTCGCGCCTCCTCCGCCCCGCACCCCCGGGCGAAAACAAACTGACGCCGCCTGACCGCCTGACACACGCGCCCCGCGCCCCGGGCTGACAAGGTCAGGTGCTTCTCGGCCTCTCGGCCGGCGTGAGTTACGTCAGTCGCTTTCTTCTCGCGCCGTCAAGTTGGCCCGTTTACTTCGCTCGAAACATCAAAGCGGTGTGGTGGCGTGTGTTTGCGCCGTGTTTTTGTCGCACCTCGCCGGGACAGCGCCGCCGGCGGACTGGACCGATTCCGCCGAAGGGCCGAGCCCTGTCTCTATGCCCCGCAGGGGTGCGCCTCCGCTGGGGCCGGACCAACTTGCCACGGGTCAGCCCTTTAGTTGTCACAAGCAGCAGCAATTAAGCACAAACACACAGTGAAGGCAGCAGGGCGGCCGGCAGGTACTAGGAACCGGGGAGGGCGAGTAAATGGACTGGAAGGCTGGATGGGGGACTGGGCTGGGGGTGGGGGGTGGGGGTAGGTCGACGAACCGCGCGCTCCCCGTACCTGTTGCTGGGGGTGCTGCGCAGCGCTGCGGCTGGGGGCGCTCAAGAACGCCCTCATTATGCCAGACACTTACAGCCTCCGCCATGAAGGCCATGAATAAAGCAGTGCATAAACTGCCCGACGGACGAGACGCGCGATCGCGTTCCGAAAGCCACGGCTATAGCGCCCTGCCGTCGGCCCCGCCGCCCCTGGAGCCCACCATCCGCACTGTCAACACTGTCACTGACCGCCGTCTGGCGGCGCGCGAGCCGGCACGCCCCGTCAACAACAACAACAACGATGACAACAACAAAAACAACAACAATAACAACGGGCAGCAGCACGTACGTTATCGTCGACGCACTCCGAGGTGTCCAGCTCGAAGTAGAACATGGGCACGCCGTTGGAGCCGGTGAGGGACAGGTGTCGAGACCCCCGGCGGGATCCTGGTCGCGACATGGTGGCGGCGGCGGGGGGCACGGCGACGGGGGTGTAGGGTTTACGTTCAGAGTCGCGGGGGCGGCGGCAGCTCACTGGCCATCACCTCTACGCGGGGTAGGGGCGGCGCGGGCGGCGGGGGCGGGGGTTGCAACGCACTGTCGCGGCGCGGTGCGGCACGTCGGCGTTGATCTGCACGGTCTGCACGGCGCGGGGTGGGAGTCGCCACTGTTGGCTTCGGGACGCCTGGCAGCCTGGCAGCGTGGTGGCGCCTTGGGACGGAGCCCAGGGCAGCACAGGGCAGCACAGGGCGGCGCAGGGCAGGGCGCCCACCCTCGCCAACGCCCCGCCGCCCCGCCGCCCCGCTCCCCGCGCCCACCCGAGAGCAGCGCGCTGTAAAGCTGCCCCCACCCCCGCCGTCACTCACAGTGGCGTGCCTCACCTCGCCGTTTTCAATGACCGTAAGATGCTGGGTCGTGCTGCCGTGATGCAAACGCCAAGCGGTCCACGAGGCCCGTGCCTCGGCCTAGGGGCCTTGGGGCTGACGCCCTTGCCCCTGGACGAGCACCTGCTGCTGCCCGTCGGCCAGAGGTCCACCCCCGAAGACCACCACACTTCCCCCGGTCAAGTCATGGTTTCACCATCGCAGTGACCTAGACCCACGAGTTCGAAAAACGCGCTCTTTAAGGCAGCCGCCAGCCCTCACCTCGTACTCGGCCCGTGTACTCCGCGGCACCTCCAGGTAGTCGTGGTGTTGCATGGCGCCGCGCTGCTGGTGTGGCTGTCGTGTAAGCTCGGCCCGTCACTCGCTGCTACTCCACTACACTACGGCGCGCCGCGCTCCAATCTCCGGCTTATAAATAAAGAAACCCTTCGGTATTGGCGAGCGTCCTTATCTGCGGCACCGATGCACCTTTCGCACTAGGCAGGGAGTCACACAGGCACTCGTGGAAAAGTTCGGGCTCGACATTTTTATCGTGCTTTTGCGGTTTGTGCGCACGGTTCGCCGTACCTCTTCCTCTCCGTACTTGTGGCAGTGTGGACGGAAATGATGGGGCGATGGCACGGCCGGTCTACTAGTGTACTAGTGCAGGCGTCGACGCGCCTCGTGGGAAGCGGC